AAGATCCTCCCAGTGTCCACAACCAAACTCTCGATCATTCTGTGTCTTACTTTGAAGAACGTCCCTTACTTTTCCAGCAACTCACTTGAGTGAATCACAGCAAACATTCCCCTTTGTGCAACTTCTGATAAGTCAAAAAGCTGACAGATGTGTTCTCCTCGTCCTATTAATAGGAACCCGAAGAATGTCCAGAATGCCAAGAACAGTCAACAGACACATGCAAATGTGCAGTGTTTGTGTTTACTTTAAAAGTACACAGTTCAGAATAGTCTAATTGTGCTGAAAATCTTTCAGTGTGATTAAGCCTTTTCACTCCCCAGGGAGGAGACACAGGCCTTCCTCACGCTCCTGCCTGGAGGTAAGAAACTAGCCTACAGGGTACGCTGGTATTTGAAGGATTTATTTGATGGATAAGTGGTGAAGAATTACTGTTTGCACTTCCTGTTTATTCTGCTAAAAATAAAAAGAGACACTCTGTGTATCCTTTGCCGGTCTTGGTTATGAGTGCTCTGACTGGGGCCAGCTTCCCAAGGCATTCCTGCACCCCCGGGAGGGCAGGGGACAGAGAAGTGAGTCCTTCACACTCACTGGGTCTGCAACCCAGACACTGCGACACGAGTCCATGTTCTCCTACACTTCCTTCTGGCACCTGCCCTTCCTATCACTTAGTAAACGGGCAAAGCACCCCAGGGGAGGGCAGAATGGTAGCTGCTGTCTGCCCGAGGGGAAGGCCTGCAGCTTTTCAGTCTCCGGGCAGATGCAGGGTACGCCTGGTAAACACAGAGGGAAGAAGGTGGTGGGTCGTCCACCTTGGTGGGCAGAAATGCCACGTAGCACACGCTGAATGTCTTGAAGCCCCTTGAGGACAAAAGCCAAGGCACTCCTAGACTGTTACCTGAGCCCCGAATGCAAGAGGGGTTCTTAACCTGACATGTGCCAAGCCCCCGTTAATAATGCGATGACGCCTAGGAACCCCTTCTCAGAACAACATTCTTAAAGGCATAAAATAAAATACAGGGACTACAAAGGAAATAAACGATTTTGAAGACAAAGCAGATGTGCGATACATTACTACATGTGCCTTCATGTTAATGCATTAAATAACAACACGTACCGTTGTTTTTAAGTAACGATTACTGTAAATGAGGCTGAGGGTATCTGAATACGACTACCACATGATATGAAAGTATGTCTGATTTCTACCGGTCACGCAGTGACAGGTCCGGCTAATCCCATTCCCAGTAAGGACGAGGGACGTGAGCTCAGGACACCAGGCTCCTGTGCCCCACCCGGGGCCTCTCACAAAGGCACAGGAAGTTTCCTATCACCAGGGGAAGAGAGGATTTTTAAAAAATTTGAATATGTTCATTAGAAAGTCAAAGTACTCACACATATTGAGAATGGCTGAATTCTGAAAATAAATGCTGGAGACAAACTCGGAAAACCTCACCCAGGAACATGGCTCGTGCCCGAGAGCGCGAGAGGCCGCTCACCAGCAGCCGGCCGGGGCAGGACGGCGCTTCTGCTGTGCCAGCTTCACGGAGATACAGTCTGCACAAAGTTCACCCATTTCACCCGATGGCTGTTAGTATCTTCACGCAGATCTCTAGTTCCAGAACATTTCTCTCACCCGAAAAGAAACCTTGTCCCTCCTAATTCTCCCCTCCCCCGCCCCTGGCAACCATGAATCTACTTTTTGTCTCTATCTGCCCATTCTGCCTATTCTGGACTTTTCCCTTAGGGTTGATTCTTGCTGTTCGTGGTGGTTTGTTCTATAAAACCACCACAAGCACTGACTTAATGAGCACGGAACACTGCCCCTGGAGGGATACAAGGTTGGGTTCCTGCAATCCACTGGTCTCGACATTTTCTCGATACAGAGCCCCGAATAACAGGAGCCAACCACGAAAGTCACGCACAGCACGGTGTGTCTGAGGCTCACCCGTCGGTGGCGTGTGTCAGTTGTCTTTTCTTTTCATGGCCGAATCGAACTCCAGTGCCCGGACGTGTGCACACTCTGTGTCCTCTCGCCAGCGGGAGGGCTCTTGGGTTGCCTCCGCCTCTGGCCTCTGTGAACATCTGTGTGCACGTTTTTGCCTGGATGCGTTTTTCCACGTGCTAGTGTTTTTTGGGAGGTTTTCACACCTACATTCAGAAGGACAGCTGATTGTGGTTTTATTGCCACGTCCTTGTGTGGTTTGGAGGAAGAGATTATTTCAAATAACAGGTTAATTTTGTTAACATAGTTGTGGGTTTATTTCGGCATGTATTAGAAGAATGCTGACTTTTCATCTGTGATAATAATAGTTTCCTCTTAAAATATATTTAAGCGTGTCCGTGCACAGGAGTTACTAAGTCACAGAGCAGGTGTGGCTGCTGTAGAGTCGCGGAAGCAGCATGACGGTGACCAACACCTCAACGCCTGCTGTAGTAAAAGGTCGTGGGATCGTGAACGTTGACTCTGGGGGTCGGGGCTCGCTCCTGCCCCCACCACCTGGCTTGGTGTGACACCACCCGTCACACAAATCAGCAGGTCTGTCCCAGACACCGGGGCACCCGAGTGTCCAGGGCTACACGGCTGCCCTGACACTCCCAGCTCCCATGTCGCCGTCCTCACAGGCAGAACCCACTGAGGACAGTGCACGCGTGAGCAGCCAGCGGCTCGGCACCCTCAGAATGTCTTCCCGTCTAACCCTCACGACAACCCAAGAGGCAGTGCCGTCCCACTCTACAGACAAGGACACGGACGCTCAGCAGGGTGGGGCACACGCCTGCGTGACGGACCAGTGACAAGGTGGGGCGTGCGCTGGGGTCTCCCTGCTCCACGCCAGGATGTGGCAGGGAAAAGGCGGCGGCTGTTGGCAACACACTCATGCTGAAAACACAGAATTCAGAAACCCCAAACCAGCTGGTTAAACACTAGGCTACTCCTCTGAGGACAGAGGAAGAAGGAAAAGTAAATGATGTGGACAGGACGCAGGGCCTCGGCCGGCAAGCGGAAAGAGGGGACGCTGTCGGAGTGCTGGGCGGTCGGCGCACTCCCGCCTGCAACACGCAGACCCACGCTTCCTGTCCGCAGCCTCAGCGAGTCAACGGTGGGGCTGCCAAGCCCACCTGGGCTGGCATCCAGAGGGCAGAGTGCCTTCTGCCGGCCTTCAAACCCAACTCCACGGCCATCGGGACAGAAAGGCTTGTTTCCTGCACGGTGGGTAACGAAGCCGTGTGCATGTCCGCAGTTTACGTGCTGCTGCTCGCCTTGCACCTGTGAGAGCCGACGCCATGACCTGGGATGCTGAGCACGGCCGGGAACGAGCCCCACTCTGTGCTCCTGGCTGGGTAGGGATGGACAGCAAACTGGCCCTGAGGACAATGAAGAGACACAGAGAAGGCAGACTGAGAGGACGGAGAACGGAGCAGCGGGGAACACCACGAGCTCACCGGATAGAGTATCTGAGACCAGGCCTTTCTGCCGAACGGCGTGTGGGCAGGTACAGACACCTGAGTAGTGTGAAGGGGCCCAGAGCTCCAGGCGGCGGGGGCAGAGGGGTGCAGGCCTTTGTCCCAGGACCAGCCAGGCGGCAGGTGGAGAGAAGCAGGCAGAGAACAGAGGGTGCATACCCTGGAGGCTGTGCAGGGCCCTGATCCCCCAGCAGTCCAGGGACTAGCAAGGAAGCTAAGCTCAGGCTGTCCCCTCAGGCCACTGTGAGGAAGTAACACTGTGTTGGCTTCTCGGTACCGTTGGAAGGACCCCCAGGCCCAGCAAGAACCATAGACAGACGTTCTCATCTGCAGAAGATCAGTCTGAAGTGAGGCCAGCAGGTGCCCTGCTGTTCCCATCCATCCTCACAGACAGAACAGTAGCACCAGCTGGCGTCTGCAGGACACAGAGCACAGGCCGGCACTCAGGGTAACTGGACGGGCAGGTGCCAACGGAGCCAGGGCACTGAGGTGGGGGGGCCCGGTCTGCGGACAGCAACGGGACAGCCCGGCCCCCACCTGGCCCAGGACACGCTGCTCCTTCCTCTGGTTCCGCTCAGGCCTGCCCCCCGCTCCCCGAGAGACCCCTGTGCTGCACAGTGTGTGCGCCGAGCAGCTGTGATGCGTGGCAGACTCGTGCGCCCGCCAGCCACTCTGTCCTGAGGCGTCAGTGCTTGCCGTGCACACATAGGCCCTCCCAAGGGAGGGGAGCAATCGTCAGCAAATCAATTACGAAAATCATGATCACGATTTCCCAGTACCAAGCCTCCCCTGCAGGCGGGTCTTTCCTTCAGCGTATTATTTTGAAACGACAAGGTTCTCCCCAGTTCAGAGATGGAGAAAAAATTCCAAATGCCGTTCTGAGACGCGAGCAGCGTGAGGTCCCACAGTGGGTCTGCAGCAGGGCACACCCCGGCCTTCTAGCCATTAAGCTGTGTCAGTAATTCATCTGGACATAAACGCTATTGCTATTACTTACTGCAGAGCTAGGCCTTCAAAGTTATAATTTAAAGCTAACATTTTTCCCAATCCTAAAAAGACAGTGGAAGATATGTACTAGCAAACCTGTGTTTCATTCCTAGGCCACTGACCGATGCCTCTTCATTGCTTAATTCACTTGCTTCCAGTGAAAATACCAAAAGCATCAATATTATTTTTTCCTCAGTATTTAAAAGTCAAAAGTCAACATTATTTAAGGTGGAAATGCAGTCAGTTTAAATATTGTAAGTCTTTCTAATAAATAAATGTTGACCCAAACCATTTTAATTTCCTTAATCTCCCACTACAAACTGGAAAACAGAATCACATGGTCCT